GTGCTGCTCTAATCCTACAGTATAGGACAGGTACTTTGAGTTCCATCCAGCAGTTCTTAATCCTCCTGGAAGGCTGCAGGGTATGGAGTTTTCATTGACACCCTTGTTTAATTTGGCTCAGCCTTCTCTCTTATTATGTGAATATATGTATGAGACTAGTATTTATAAAGTTAAAGAATGTGACAGGCTGTTTGATAATTATTTGGACAAGTCATAACCTGTATTAAAGTATTGCTAGAGAGCAGAGACAACAATCTTTTGAAATAAAATGTACCGGTGTTGTTTTATGTATTTTTCTTTTCCGAAGCAAATGGAATTTTAATACTAGTAAGAAAGGATTGGTTTTTCTTTTTTTTGGTGGAAGATAGAAGTACCATTTAATGTGGTGCATGTCATCCTCTTGTAACAGAGCTGGTGTCTTCAAGGAGTGCTCCATTTCCACTTTTAAATATCTGCTGTAAGTCATGTTAACTGACATAGAAGTATTGAGACTTGTTCTGGGATGATCGTAGCTCTAAAACAAGACAATGACTATTGCCTTGAGATCTGAAATTTTAGCTAGAAGATCATCCAATTTCTTGACTAAGCAGTGTTTGAAGAAGCACTAATATGTGCACAAGTTCGGTCTTAGCTATTTTAGAACGTGACATCTGTGAAATGTAACATCACATTTCAGAACTGAATTTGGGGTCAGATAGTAGTACTTATATAATTATTTTTTTTTCCCCATATTTTAAGCCATCTTTGCTTATCCATCTTTGATTATACAGGTGAAAAAAACCCACCATTTTAATCTGTGCATTATGTCGAAGCTTCGGTTAGAGTAGCTGAATTCTGTGGATGTGGTTGCAGGTAGAATGGCCACACTGCTTGAAAATGGGATTCATCTGCAGCTGTTTGTGGTCCCTATCAAATTAGGTATGGAAACAGCACTGTTCCTACAGTAGTGACAGACAACTCTTGGTGTCATGATGGAGCTGCTGACTCTGTGAGAGGTGGCACTGCAGATGTTTTGGTAGCTGTCCATGATGTGAACTAGGAGGGTGCTCATTTAGATGGACCTAGCAAATGTCAGATACAATGATGTAGAACCAGAGAGTAGTTCTGCAGTGAGGAAGGTTAAAAATGGCCTATTCCAAAGAGTCCTGCTGGAAAAATCAACTAAGGGCAGCCCATGTTGTAGAGGAAGGCACCCTTAGCTGCTTAATACATCTACAGTGAGGGGCTTATTTCCTGATGACTGATGGGCTGCATCAGTAGTATTGACACATCTGTGCTTGTTAACACTGGTGAAAAAGATAGCTCTGCAAACACGCTTGTCAGACCTACAGCACCTGTAACTCAAAGCCTGGATGCAAGATGCAGAACAAAACCAGTGTCTGGGTTCCTTTGTCCAGCAGTAACTTGTAAAATGAGCCATGAGTTATTCAAGAGGACGAGTGAGATTTCAGTATGAAAAAAAAGTTACAGGGAATACTAAAAAGAGTATTTTCCTTCCTTACCCACCTTTCCCTTAGGTATGATTTTGCAGTGGCATGAAGATATTTCCTGATTGTCCTGCAGTGGAACACTGTGAACAGTGCTTTATTTGAAAGCAGCTGAGCACTGAAATCCTCACCCACCCTTGCTTGTCTTGTGCAGAGTGCTGAGCTGCTTCTGCAGGACATTGGGATGAGGGAAGGGGCATCTCATGGGGTCTGTAACTTGTTTCATTCTTAGAACAAAGTCACAGTGAAACCAAATCATTGTTCAGTAACACTGGAAGGTAAGTGCATAATGCAACAGCACGTGTTTCTTCAGGGGGCAAGGAGGAAGGAGGTGTCTGTACCTCTGTGCAGTGCAGAGCCCTTTGTGTCACCCCACCTGAAGCCAATACATCTGCTGGCACTTGCCTTGCACTGTGCAGGAGCAGCTGTGTGGTTTCCATTTCTTAGCTGGTGTTTATAGCAGACAGTTTGGTACACAGCTGCATTTCCAGCAATAAATCTAAACTAACAGAACTTGCTGTTTAAGGTTTGTGATCTGATGGAGCTGGATGCTTGGTGTTGGTGTGTTACAGTCCTTCAATTATCTTTTGTCTGCCTGATAAGACCTCCTGACAACTTCAGGACAGTTCCCTCTGAACGAGGGAATTTGCCAGTAGTCCACTATGGAAATTTGCAGTGGAGGAAAAAAGCCCTGCGAGACTGGAAATGGGCAAGGCTGGCTGAGAACAAGTCAGCATCTGAGGACAGTATTTTATACGCAAAATGAAAGCACGCTGTTGCTAGCAGTTGCCTGCTGCTAGATGACAGTGCAGCAGTGGAAATGCAAAGGAAACTTGCTCCGTTGGTTGCTTAAAATGGCAGTACCACTTTTACATGGCTGTCTCAAGGCTCTGCAGGGTGTTAAGCAAAAAAAAAGGTGATGTGATATTTGGAATTGTCTAGGCTGTGCCATTTGCTCCATTTACTCAGTAGACTCCCAGCTCACCTAAATCACAAGAGATGATGTCTGATCTCTGATTGGTATGTGAGCAGCTAAGTTGATTTTGGACTGCTAATACTCATTTTTTTTAGAAGGAAGGCATTAAGAATGTTTTAAAAGGGGAGCTTGGGGGAAACAATTGAATTCAAAGAGGCAACGTGATAATCTTCAAGTGCTTGACTTGTGGGGCTATGTTTCTATAAGCCAACTATTAACATAGCCTCTCTTACATTATGTAACAGGCATTTCTTGCCCAGAAGAGTTCTTGTGTTTATCTCAGTGCTCTAAATCCATCCCCTAAGCAGTGCTTTCTTACAGATCCCCTTGCAGTAAGACACAGCATGGACTGTGTGAGCTTTTGGCAAGCATGATGCTGCTTAGGTTGAGCTGCCCAGCTCTGCTTATCCAGCAGCACAGCTTTGTGATGGGAACAATACAGCTGCTGAAAGCTGCATTGGTTGCAGTTTATGCCTCTGGTCTAGTTTAGTGATCTAGGAAGAAAGGGGTTGACTTTTTTCCAGTCCAAGCATGCATCAGGAGAAATTGTCCTAAAATTGTTGAAATTGGATGGACAGTATTTTCCAGATTACAACTTACAGTGCTGATACTGGCAAAGCATCCACTGGGTTTTTATTTTCAAAAGTGGGCCTTTGATGGTAGGCTATACAAACAGTTTCAAAATTGGGCTTGTAACAGCCAAAACCTGTGTGCATCCAGAAAGCTTTTGTTTAAGAAAGAAGAAAATTGTATGGTGTTGATTGAAAAGCACAAAAGCGCTTGGATTTACAGCTGCCAGGTTTGAAGCAGTGTCCTGCAATGCAGAGGTGTGAGCTGACTGCTGTGGTGTGTGCTTACCTGTCTACCACCCTTTGTGTGTGATAAGTGGGATTGAAGTGATCAGTAACACACAGTTATTGTGAGATCACGGAGAAAGGATTTTAAAATATTTTTTTCTTCCCCAAAAGCAACTAAATAACCAGCCTCTGTCAAACCAACCTGTTTTATCAGCTTGAAATAGGTTTTAAATAAAGCTTATGTAAATGTTTGCTTGCTGTTTCCAGTCTGTATCCCTAGATGGCAATGGAAGACAGTACATGCTGAGCGTGACAAGAAACCAGGGAATGCAGAGAGGGAAATTGTGGTAAAAATTCCCAGGTGATTGATTGTGCAACTCATAACCTGTGTGAAGTTGTACCCTAAAAGAAATTTCTCCTACCTGACAGAGATCTGTCCTTAGATGTACCCCTTCCCCATGGCTGGTACCCTATGGCTTCCCTGTGCCCACCACAGCCTCTTGCACAGCTTGCACAGGGCGGTCCTGGTGCTCCACCTTAGAGAGGAGAAAAGTTCACTGCTAGAGGCCACAATGACAGTGACCACAGTGTCTTTGTAACAAGCTCAAGTCAGCTAATGGCAAGGGGCCACAGAAAGAGACAGATGTTTTCCATCTCTAGTTTCTACCATCTCTGACAGTTCTGGGAGGGAAATTGATGGGAAGTGATTTGCTTTTGGGGGGAAGGAGTTGGTTCTTGTCCACCGTTGTCTTGTGTTTGCAGGCTCAGAGAAACATTGGTTGTTGAGAATGGTTCTGCTAGACTGAGGCGAAGAGAAACTTGTGTGTGTGTGTGTGTGTGTGTAAGGGGAAAATGGGAGTGACTGCATGCCAGGCCCTGATGTCTGCAGGAAAGTGCTGGAAGGAACCAGTGCTGCAGAAGCAGGCAAAACAATGAGAGCTGCCAGTAGTGGCCCTGCTAGGGGTCAGAAATTTGTATGGCTAAAGTCCTCTCCTGTGCCACCCCAGGCTGCCTGGGCCCTTACAGGTATCTGTGTGGACCTGGTCATGAATAATGTCTGGGGGCTCACTCATCTGCCATGGATGTATGAGTTGGAGCAGCCCATTAGAGATGGAATCCTTGAGCAGTCAAGATGCTTTGGATTTCTGTGGATACAAATTAAAGAAGAATTTGAAAAAGACTTTTTAAAAAATCTGTAACATCAAAACTGTAACTGGCTTTTATTAAAGTGTCATAGAAAAGAAAAACGCTCTGAGTTGGTACAGTGCTCCTATGGCTTTGGCTATGAAAGGATAAAACTTCATCACCATGTGATCTTCTAGGAAGCCTGTGTTTTTTCCTAAGCTGAAATGAGTGATTTCTAACTCAACACTTGATTCAGTAGATGCTATGAGTCAGTAGCAGTCTTTCCCTTGGCCTTTGGATGATTCAGGTGAATAAATGGTACTTTGTGCAACCGAAGCTTCCCTTTTGCATATTAGCTGTTTTTTTTTTTGAGGCGTGAAGCATTACAAGATTCCAAAGTACATCGTGTCCATGAAATCTGACTTTCTGAAACTCCATGGCCAATTCTATCAAATGGGTAGATGACTTGTACCAGGTGAGCCTGGTTCCAATCACTGGGCATGCAATTGCAATATGTACCACACCAGAATATAGCACAGACATGTGCAAAGTTATGTCTCCAGATAAATCTGTCAGTAATTTTAAACCCGTTTTCTTAAAATTATGTATGTATGGATTTTTTTTCTAGAAAAAGCAGGAATGCTGACCCTTCCTGCTCAGAAATTTCAGATGCTCATGGACTCTCTTAGCTTATAAAAGCTGGGTTCAGTGATGCTCTCTGGTCTGGTGGTGGGGCACACTGATTTTCTACTTATTTCAACTAGCACTGTTCCATAAAATCAGGTACATTTATGTCACTGAGATCTAGTTTTGCAGGGTGAGGAGATGTGAATCCTTCTGGATTGATACAGAAGACCCACCTATATTTTGGGATCCTCACGCGAAAACATATCCTGCCAGCTATCAGACTAACTCAAAATGAAGTTCGTGTTCCTTGCTGAAGGTATTTGTTATTCTCCCTTTCTTTTGGTTGTGCTGAGTCCATGCTCAATTTTAAATTCAATAAGCTGCAGTGAAAACTTTCTGGTTTGGGTTGGGGTTTTTTTTGTGTGTGAAAACAATGGGAAGGTGTTCGTTATCAGGTTGATAGATGAGTTAGCAAATGTTTGAAAATCCTCAGCTGCTTGTTATCCACGATGGCGCATTTCTTTCAGTTACAACCGTGTTCCTATAGGGCAGGTACCCCATAGCTGTGAGAAACAAAAATGACAAATTATGTTGGTGTTGCACTGTTAGAACTTCGAGCTTCTGGTTTCCTCATCTTAATGTGGGCCATGGGAGGAAAGCTGCTCATCTATCTGTTCACGGTCTGATTTCCAGCTTCCTAGGACCTGAGCTTCCAGCACACACTGCTCAAAAGCACAGGGAAGATTGTCCTGTGTCTGCTTGCATGGCACCAGCTCTGCCTCTCTGAAAAGCCATGAAGCTCACAAAACTGCAGAGTGGATGTGGTTTACAGCAAAGATGCACTCTGCTTTTATTACTTCCAAGGCTGAACTAGTTTGTTCTTATATTTTTCATGTGCCTTCCCTTCTGTTTGTACCCTATTGTTGCACCATGGAACTGTATGTGAAAGCAGAAGTGAATTGGTTGGGAGAAAAATATTTTATTTTCCTTGTTAAGCGTTTGAATGTCAGCATGAAACACAGAATTAAAATTCCCACCTGTAAGTTGAAAATACTGGTCTCAGAAAGGGCGCCTTTCTCTGATGCACCTTCTCTGACTTGTACCTGCCTTGAGCTGAGGTCCTGCAAGTGGGAACCTGAAGAAGAACAGACATCTCCTTTCTTTCTTTGCAGCAGTTGGTATATAGGATCATAGAATTGTTTGAGTTGGAAGGGACCCTTAAAGGCCATTTAGTCCAACTCCCCTGCAATGAATAGGGATACCTGCAGCTAGACCACATTGCTCAGAGCCCCCTCCAGCCTGATCCTCAATGTCTCCAAGGCCGGGCGGTCACCACCCCTCTGGGCATCCCATTCCTGTGCCTCATTGCCCTTATCATAAAAAACTTCACCATTTCCCTGGGCAGCTTCTTCCAGTACCTCAGCACTCTGAGAATTTTTTCCTGATATCCAACCTGAACACATGCATCAGACTTCCTAGTCAAGACTTATTTCCAACCAGTTTTCACTCAGTGCTGCTGTTTGTTTACAGTTGAGTGTAAACTACAGTTTTTACAGCAGTAGGGAAATGGTGCCTTGACTCTTCCAGTATGACACAAAGCTACTGCTCACTGCAGGTCTCATTCCTTTGACCTCTGGTTGCTGAAAAACAGCAGAAAGGGAAGCAGAATCATACAATAGCTTAGGTTGGAAATCACTTTAAAAATTCCCTACTTCCAACTCCCTGCCATAGGCAAAGTCAATTAGAGCAGGATCAGGGTGCCCAGGGCACCACCCAAACTGGCCCTTCAGGGATGGGGCACCCACAGCTTCTGTGAACAGCTGTGCCAGGGCCTCACTGCCTTCATAGTGAAGTATTTCTTCCAGATACCTAATCTATACTCGCCTCTTTTCTGCCTAAAAGCACTACCCCTTGTGCTGGCACTACATTCCCTGACAGAGAGACTATTCCCACCTTTCCTGCAGGCTGTCTTTAGTTGCTGTAAGGGTGCTATTAGGTTTTCCTGGAGCCTTCTCTTCCCCAGACAGAACAGCCCCATCTCTCTCAGCCTTTATTCATAAGAGAAGTACTCCATCCTCCGAGCACCTTCATGGCTTCCTCTGTATCCCCTCCAACTGCTCCAGTCCTTATGCTGGGGGGGCCTGAACTGAACGCAGCACTGCAGGTGGGGGTTCCTGAAGCACAGCAGAGGAGGCCTCCAGCCCAGAGCCCTTCTCGCAGCTGTCTTGCCCCTGCAATGACCCCGAGCTCTGCAGGCCTCCACAGCATAACAAGCCCTAGGTCGGTCCTGAGGGCGAGCCAGGAGGCTGCCCCTACCTGACCACAGAGATGAGCAGCCCTGAGGAGTCCTTCCTCCACATTGTTGGCTCATATCCCATTTCTCATCCACCAGTACTTCCAGATCCTTTTCCTCAGGGCTGTGCTCCATCCTTACATCCCCCTGCTGGTACTGATAGTCAGGTTGCCACGAAGCAGGTGCAAGACCTTGCATTTAGATTTGTTAAACCTCATGAGGCTCTCCTGGGCCCACTGCTTGAGCCTGTCTAGGTCTCTCTGAATAGCATTCTGTTACAAGGTCTGTCAACTTCACCACACAGCTTGGTACCATCTGCAAACTTGCTGAGGGTGCATTCGATTCCACTGTCCGTCTTCATCCACTGATGAAGGTGCTAAAGAGCACCGGTTCCTGTACAAACTCCTGAAGGACACCACTCATCACTGATCTCCATCCTGACATTGAGCCACTGACCACCCACTCTGGATACAGAAGTGTAGCCAAGGCTCACTGATAGAAGGTAAGGCCCTCTCCAATGCTGGCTAGAGAAATTTGGTTGGTTCAGACACTGGGGACCTAAAAGTGCTTCATCAGAATGATGTACTCCCCTCCAGCTGTCTTACCTGCTGAAGGACCTAACTGATGCCACCACTGTTAAGATTTCAAACCACAGCTGGCAGACATGGAATAGGTTACCTCTAGCACTGCCTTTCTGCTGCCATCTCATGCAGTCACACTGTAGAACAAGCTGTAATCCAAAATATAGCTTAACATCTTCAGTTCACATGTTGAAGGCTTCCTGATCCCCTGTGGAAAGTTTCAGATTCTGTTGAAATGTTAGCCTTGAGGAAAGGCAACCTACTCTTCTGGTTGAGATGTCTTTCTTTTGGGGCTGCTGAACTCTTATTCAGGTCATTCTGGTCAACATCACCTCTCAAGTATGGCAATTGTAGCTTGCTGCGTGCTCAAGAATACTTAGTTCTGCAAGACCACTAAAATGAAAAGGAGTAACTTTTATTCAGAATGAACATGCTCGTTACAATACTAGGAGCCCACGGCACTGGGCACCATTCAACATCACAAGCTAGTGCCTGCCCCTCTCCAAATATCGTGAAAGTAGGTGCTGGATGTGAGCTTAAGAACTGAGTTTCAGAACTGCAGTATTTGATGGCCTGCCTGCCTCCCAGTGTGCTGTAAAAGGTGGCAAGGTGAGCAAAGGCAAAATCCTGATTAGGGACATAGTCCCCTTCCACTGGCATTATTATTGTTGGATGTGAACTTAGAAATGGATGCAACCTGTAAGGCCAGGTAACAGCTGCTTAGACGCCCTTTGGAAACTGCCAGTAGTGCTTAAGGGCAGGCTCCAGCAAGTCTCTCAGGTGCCTGAGTGCCTATTGATTGCTATGGGACTGCAGATGCCTAATTATATTTCCATACTTTGTCCAAAGCTCTCCTAATCCTCTCCTCGAGTTCTGTTTCAGGAAACCAAATGACTGGAACTGCCTTGAGTGTTTGGAAAGCACACAGGTTCCCTTGGAAGCAAGGACTTGCAGGCATGTCACTTAATTCTGGAATGTATTGATTACAAGATACAGAATCTTAAGCTAAAGAATTTGTTGATGGATTTGTGTAACCCATACTTATTTCATTCCCGGCCTAGATTAAATCTGTAAGCATGACTCAAATGCTTACAGTGCACACTTCTGTACGTAAGGACTTGTCATAAAACTTATGGACTGAGAACATCAGCCTAGATATCAGCAAGAAAGCCATTTGGAGCTACATAGGCCAGCCTAGGTCAGTTTAATGGAAGTGCTGCCGTTTTACACACTGGGTATGCTCAATTTCAGCTAGTGTAGCAGCCTAAGCATTTTGTGTAAACTCCCTCTCCCACTGCTGAAGACAGGTGAGTACTTAAACACTGCAAAAACAAGCAGATTTTGTTATTCACTGAAAAGTGTGGTTCTTCAATGCACGTAGATTCTTTACTAGGCTCCTAGCTGAAGAACAGAGCTGACTGCATTGCATTATTATTGTCAAGGCCACGACATTGCTTTTATGTAACTATGTGTATAATCAAAGAATTTTAGGATGTTATAATCACAAAATAAGAGAGGCAAAGCAGATTACGATAACAAAAGAGAATAAATAGAAGGCTTACCCCTATCCTGGGCTCACTCACAAAACTCCAGTAGAGGCAATCTCCAGAAGAGATCCTTCCCCACTGGTAGCCAGCTCTTAAATAGGTTTAGGAGGGATGCAGCCAGGCTCCACTGCTTCTGGCAGCACAGCTGAATTGCTTTCACCTGTGCTGCTCTGGCTGACACATTGCACCCCTCAGGTGGTCAATCAGAGGTTCAGGCTGTGACTCTGTTCCCATACACTATGGATGTGACCTAGCTAAAAACAAATCTTTGATCACTCAGTAAAGAAATTTGGACTACCAGTTATTCGTTTGGATGAAAAACTGAGGTTTTACTACACTAATAGCTGTTCTGGAGACTTGAAATTGCATTCATGGACTGGATCTGAAGGTCTTAATTTCTTGAGATTTTTGAGCAAATATCTCTTGCACATAAAACCAGATTAATTTAATAACCCAGATTAGCAGGGTCTAAAGTGTTTTCAGAGGTATCTCTGCATTTTATCAGATATCTAAGATTCCTATAATTTCTTAACCAAGTGTTCCTCCTCAACTTGTTCTTTTCTTATCAGAAAGAATATATCTTTTTTTTTCTTTTGCTTTTCAAAGGCAGAGTGAGAAAAGATCCAGCGAAATATACTATTCATCTGGTTACCTCCTTCCTTCAGCACATCCTTTAAACCACAACTCTCCACATCCCAACAGGCAGGATGCAGAGATGTTCTCCTGCACACGGGGCTGAAATTCAGGCTTCAGGCAAAGGGGTGGTTCCAGCTGCTCTGCAGAGGCCTCTCCTAAGGAATCACTGAGTAAGGTGGAGAGGCACAGGGTTGTATTTTTATATTGCCGGAAGGCAAGAGTTGAGGAAGGTGATGGAAGGGAGGAGAGGGGAAGAGGTCAGTCAGCTCTGCTGTTTGTGTAAGTTCTGGAAGTGTAAAATAAATATTTCCTGAGCTGAATAAATACACCTCTTCAGCACTGATGAAATACCTCAATGTAAACAAACCAAGTTTCACTGTCCATCCCCATCAAACAAACCACATAACAGCAACAACAACAAATCCTGCACATTATAAGATTTCATTGGATGAAACAGCTTAGTATCTGTTTCTGCTCCCATATAGTTGTGAGCTGCTCTTCTCAGGGGTCAGTAGTGGAGGAAGAGTTGCTGGTAGTTTAGCAATAATGTTTAATGAACTGAAAAATTACCTGTTTGTAGGAGGATTAATAACTCTCTGCACATTAATCTCATGTCGGTTTGTCAGTGAAAAGAACAAATGTCTCATAGTGGTGTCCTGCTGCTTTCAGTCTACAGCTCCATTCAAGTCACTCTCCTGTAGCCCAGCTTTCAGAGCAGCGGTGCCAGTTGTGATCCTGGAAAGTCTGCAGGCTAATTTCCAAACCACGCTACTTTTCAGTGGTGAGCAATAAAGCCTCACTAGGTTTTAGCTGTCCTGAGAAGGTCAAGCCACAATTCCCTGCATAGTTGCAATTCTAGCGTTGCTGTTGGAAGTGGTGTGTTTTATCAATGGGAAG